TGAATTATAATTTTTCTAATAAAAATAATTACTTTTATTATTAACTGAAATATTGTAATCATTGTATATTTCCAATTAATATCCACTTTTCACAATAGACAAGTAAAGATTGTTTAAACGTGCCGAAATAAGGCTATGATTAACCACATAAGTGTTTATGTCGTATATATTCGTCATGCTCTAATATATTGCATAGCACTTATGACGAATATATTCGTATCATGAATTTACTTGGTATTCTTAACTGGTGCAAAATTATAAACAAAAATTGAAAATTTGAATTATAATTTTTCTAATAAAAATAATTACTTTTATTATTAACTATTGTAATCATTGTATATTTAGTTGCATGAATGATCAATACGCTTTACAAAATAATACACGAAAATTGGAAATTTGACTTACAAATTATCTAATTGAAAAAATTAAACAAATATAATTTCATAAAAATTAATAACTTTTATTATTGACTGCAATCATTGCATATTTCCAATTATTACTTTAATATTTATTAAATTTTATGTTTTCAGCACAATTTCCATTCGATTCGGACTGAGAAATATGTACTTCGGAATCTAAACGTAAGTTAAAATACTGTTTTTTTTACATTTTACTTATTTTTGTCATGATTTTGTTTAAAATAATTTCATGTTAATTACTGTAGAGAAGTAATTAAAATTGATTTTTTTTTAAGTGATTTTAATTTACTCATGACATTGTAATGTTAATAAAACATTACGTAAATCAATATTTTTGTAATATTTATTCAATTTTATGAAGTAATTTAATGCTTTTTTACATAAAAATATCAAATTAAAACAAGGATCTTAAATTAAGTGCAAGGATCTTACAAAAGCAGTATCATTATTTTGTTTGTTTTTGATTCCGTTCTAAATTAAGATCAAAGTGCACTTATTCGTTTGTTCTAAAAAGAAATGAAAGGAGGATCGTGCGTATCATCAAACTAAAAGTGTCTGCAAAGACTTTCTTTTCTTTTGTGAAATTATTTCAATTTTTTTTTTTGCAAAGACGATTCTCTTCGCCTACGATATTTCTTCTGATTTTTTTTTATTTGTAAAAATCTAATAAAAATAAGCCTAATAAGTAAAATGAATTTAAAAAAAACTGTAATGAAAATCAATGGATTCTGTTATAAACGAAAGGAGGAAGGAGAAAGATGTTGGCGTTATTACCTTTTGAGAAGTAACAGCAATAACTTATAGTTTAGAATGTCACTTCGAACAATCATGGCTAGATGATAAATAAACAAGTGGAGAGTAACAATGGGTTTCGTGCTGTATAAGGAATTAGTTTAGATTTAATAAATTGCAACAAAAAAAACTTTTATTTTATTCATTTATTATAAATAGATTCTATAACATTTGGTAAACATCATTGGAAATTGTAAGTTCACAATTTGCATTGTAATAGAAAATTATTGCAATGAATGTTACGTAACGAATTAGAATTAAGTAAATGTAAATCTCGAAAATTTATGATAATCATTACAACGAACATTTAACAAATTATAACTTTAATAATGAATACTTAAGAAAGTTAAACCTTAGTTAAAGTAAATGACAATAATCTCAAAGAATCACTAGGTATTATATAAATATATATACACAATTTGTGAGTATAATTCATGAAAGATTATGTCTCTAAAACGTGTAATATTTCAGTGAAACGGAGGCCAGTCTTGGCCGATAACTGTACATTTAGTAAACGTTGGGGCAGGTAGACTTAAGTCGTTTACTGCTTGTACTTAAGTCTGTAAAAGGAAACGTAATTTGAATTTGTTAGAAAATATACCTGGCTTCGTTCACATCATTTGCAATGAGTTTAAAAATTTGTACTAAATTTTCGTTGACAATAAAACCAAAAATATTTAAGTAAACTGTTAAATTTCTTATACAAACACAAACATTTAATAAATTAAACTTATCAATACTTATATTTGTAGAAAAATATTTGGATTTTTATTTTAATGCAAATATATGCAAAAGTTTAAAATGTAAATTTAGAGATTCAAAATTTAAATTCTTCAGTGATTAAAATAAGATTAGTAAAAGTGGATATAATTATCATTGTTTGTTAATTATTGTAAAAATTGTACGTTTTTTTTTGTAAAGGTTGATTGATTTATGTTTGCAATAACAAAGATATTACCGATATTAACTGTAAATTTAATAAACTGTAATTTTCTGCGATTTGCGTGACTACAGACCTATTATTTGCGCATATTAAAGTGCACTGTTCGTAACGTAATGCCGAAATGTATTGCAAAAAAAAATATATAAATACGTTTAGAGTTTTGTCGAGCATAGAGACAGAGACACACGGCAAACATTACGCAACGAATCGTCGAGGAAGCGAAAATTGAAATGTGTGTAATTTCCGAAAGCAATTGAATAATTCCTCGTTGCATTATCATCGACGCAGCACCGCAATCTTCGTATCACACGTAATAATACATATTGTTTTCCTTCATTGCAAAATCGCCAATTTCCGAGGCAGCAATTCGTGTTTGCAATTTTAAAAATGCACGAGCAATAAGCATGAAAAGAATACCGAGCTTCTCCCTAGCCAGTTTTTTTCCCTTTAACAAAAAAAAAACAAATTCGCACCATGAATAGCCCTCATTGTGCTGTGCTGCATGTATAGAGGTTCTTTTTTTTAAAAGGCCTGAAAAGTCCTCGGAGGAGAGCAGATGTCTGATGTCGTCGAGGCTCTTGTAACAACCAGCAGATGTTGTTTGGACCATATTCCATTTCCAGGACAATTCTCGGAAAACGGGCACAATTTCGTATCCGGAGCGAAATTGAACAAGAACAAAAAATGAAATAATAATGTTAGTAATAATAATAATAATGGTAACAGTATTCTCTCTCAGCGAAAAGCGTGTTGCGATATATCGGTCGACGTTTGTTGCGCAACGGAACAACAACAATAATTAATAAGTATCGAAATACGAAACACATGCATGCACGGTTATTTTCGCAATTGGACCAGATACACTCGGGACACAATTCATATTTTTATCAACAATGTCGTTTCTTCGCCTTTTTATTCTCTTTTTCTCGTGTTTTTTTTTTTTCGAACAAAGCCGGATGACCTTTGTGTGTTGTGTTGGTTCGACGTTCGAATAAATCGTTTGGAAATGTCGACTTTTACTTTCCGTCCAGAATCTGCAGGGATCTTTTTGTTGTTTGTTGTTGGCCTTTCTCCGTCTCCTCTGGGACGGATGATTTGGATGCTTCACTGTTGCATTCCTTCTGGTATTGGTTAGGATTATTGGCAGGAAACGGATACTCGCCGCCCAGACAACAGTAGTAGGTACTACCTTTTCGAATACATTAACCGTGGAGAGACGGAGAATGAGAATGAACACGGAACAACACAACACAACACGTTGGTTTTGAAATTTTAATTTTCAATGCCAACTTCGAGCCTCTACATCATGTTTGTCATTCGTGTGGAAATTACACGAGGGAAATACACGGTTTTCCAACGTTATCGCACAATTAACTCGTAACAATTTACGTTTATCTTGCTCTACACATAATTACATTATTAGCTGTACTATTAGTCCACTTCATATTGTTATTATTTAAAATATACGTTACACAAGATTTGCCAAGTACAAAACCTTGAGGTGTCTTTCAAAAAATTAAAAAAAAAACTATATAGAACAAAATTTATAATTTAGAGATTCAATTCAATTTTTAGTTTTACTTCTAAGTTAAACATATTATATTTTTCAAATACAAAAATTAAGTTGTTCATACAACATATTGGCTAAATACTACACCATAAAGTGTTTATTAAATATAAGGATTAATGGAAATGTTCAGAGACAGATTTTTCAACCAAAAATTAATATTTTATTCGATTCATACAATAATATTCTTCAACAACTAATGACTTCTTTCAGATTTGAAAAGTCTACCAAATCATTCTATTTTATTGACTTTTCATTAATAATTTCATTGTTTTATTAAAGAAACTATAATATTTTAATTTCATTAATGAAAATTGATTTTTTTTTATGAATACACTCAAAACTAAATTTATTTATAAATTTTGTTGAGAAACGCAGTTAATATCCAAATGTTGATTATGAAATGGAAAAAAAAACTGTTTTATAGCTTTTCCAATCTGTAACAACTTTAATTGACGATCGTTTATTACAATTTCATGGACTTTTCTAATGGATTCTCCATATCTAACCTATCTGGAAACTAATTTGCAAACTGTTGCATAAACTTACTACAAACTTAGTTTTTATATCTTCAAGTCTATTAAGAACACAATAAAATCAATATTGTAAAATTCTCTATCGAAATTTATTATTTTGTGAGTTGAATATTAAATTTGTCTTCTTATGGTATATTATAGATTTTTTTCCATAGAATTGCATAATAATATGTAATAATGTTTTTGTATGAAAATATATAAATTTTATAATATGCTACTGATACTCGCATGAAACGACATCTTTTGGTTTGTTATAGAAAATTCTTATAAATTTTCGTAATTGGTATGAATTTGATACTATTTTGAAACGCTATCTATTAGTTTATTCTAGAAGTACATATATTTTCGTATTAGGTAAATATTACAAGTTCTACAACTATAAAATTGGCACTTGTACTTGCATTAATACAAGTAACTTGGTGAAATATCGTTTATTAAATATAAGGATTAATGGAAATGTTCAGAGACAGATTTATATTATTCAAAAACTAATGATTTCTTTTAGATTTGAAAAATCTACCAAATCTTTCTATTTTATTAATAATTTCATTGTTTTATTAAAAAAAAAACTATAATATTTTAATTTCATGAATGAAAATTGTTTTTTATGAATACACTCAAAAACTAAATTTATTTGTAAATTTTGTTAATATCCAAATGTTGATTGTGAAATGGAAAAAAACTGCTTTATAGCCTTTCCAATCTGTAAAAACTTTAATTGACGATCGTTTATTACAATTTCATGGACTTTTCTAATAGATTATCCATATGTAACGTATCTAGAAACTAAGTTGCAAACTGTTGCATAAACTTACTACAAACTTAGTTTTTATATCTTCAAGTCTATTAAGAACACAATAAAATCAATATTGTAAAATTCTCTATCGAAATTTATTATTTTGTGAGTTGAATATTAAATTTGTAGATGAAAATATGAAAAAGTTTAATTTTTATAATATTTGTTCGCAACATCATCTTTTGGTATATTATAGATTTTTTTCCATAGATTTGCATAATAATATGTAATAATGTTTTTGTATGAAAATATATAAATTTTAAAATATTATATTTAGATTTGAAAAGTCTACCAAATCTTTCTATTTTATTAATAATTTCATTGTTTTATTAAAAAAAAACTACAATATTTTAATTTCATGAATGAAAATTGTTTTTTTTATGAATACACTCAAAAACTAAATGTATTTGTAAATTTTGCTGAGAAACGCAGTTAATGGAAAAAACTGCTTTATAGCTTTTCCAATCTGTAACAGCTTTAATTGACGATCGTTTATTACTATTTTATGGACTTTTGTAATTGTTGCAT